ATAATCAGTACATAAGAATATACACATTCAAATATTGAACAAGAGAACGAAAAAAAAAACAGAGGAAATATGCGAGCAAAAACTGATGCGCACTAGCACACAGAAACATGTAACAATAAACTAAGAGACATAATAGCAATGTAGAATTACGTACAAAGAATGAGCCTATAAAAAATACTCAAGAAACATTAAAAAACACTGACTGGAGCTTGGAGAAAAGACCTAAAAATAAATACAATTTGCTTTCACCATGGCCAATTGTACAACACAATGTAAAATCTGGGCTTAGTTATCATGATGGGGGCCTACTACCCTGTAAAGTAGTACTGTATCAGCAGTACAATGTCAGGATGAAAGTTGTTCAGAAAAGTCCGATTCTTGCAAAAGCCAACTGATGTACTTCAGGGAAGGGGAGCACAGAGAGTTATCTGTATCTGTGACTACACGTAAACAAAATTTAAGTTAATGAAAATTTACACAAAATTGACTATTATTATCACTTTTAGCCAGTATCCAGTGATGGCAATAAAACAAAGCATTTGGAAGTAATAAAAGACTTTTTACACACAAAGGGTATTGTGTGTAAAGCCAATACTATAAGTCATCAAGTTGATTTAGCGCCTCGATCACCAGGCCATCATCATCACTTGCTGAGCCCTCTGACACATCACAGCTGCTACTACCACAGATCAAAGATCCCGACGATGTGAGTGGAGAAGCTGTGAAATAAGAGAAGCATTCTGTTCAATAAATTTGTATGGGAGGACAACTTGTCTGTCCTCTAGAGCTCGCACATGGTCTGTAGAGAGTGTGAAAAGAAATTGAGTGTGATAGGAGAGGGTGTTGTTTCCTCTGCCTCAATAACATCATTTCCACCAATAGGCTATTCTTATTATTTGTCTATTTCTTGTTGTTGAACTTGCCAAGGTTCTCTGTTCTGATGTGTAGCTCAACAATGGACTAACCACTGATAATGTATTTTCTTTGTTTAGAAGNGGGTGGTTTGCCAACATTTAAACTGACTTTGTTTTAAATTTGTGATTACCGGTATTGTCTGGCTCTGATGCAAATGTTATTTTTAACACATCATTGGTGCATCAGCCATCATCTCGATTTCCACAGGACTCATTCCACTCTCCCATCACAAATTATATGGATATGCATCAAACTGAACCAAACCTGAAGAGTTTTGATTAAAAACGTAACAGCGATAAAAATGATAAAAAAGATAATATATTTTTAAAATTATTGGACCTTATGTCATATAATTCAGGGACTAATCATGCCACTTGATAAGAACAAATCCTTGCCTGATTCATCCCCCTGAATTTACTTTTGTCCTTCCAGTTCCTATTAAAAATCACTACCCTAAATGAAATAAACTACTTTACTATAAAGACACGAGTGTTTTACTGGAAAATACACCTCTCGTAAAGTTCATACAAAACCACATCTGGGACTCGGGCGGCGTATTTTCCATATGATCACTAGTGAAGATATCGATTACTTCACTGATATCATTTTTGAGCCTTAAACTGTCCTTAAATTTGTGAAAAGTGAACTGATCAACATGGCACGAGCGTGGGACAAAGAAAAAATCTGAGTCCCTGACAGTAATTGGACCCATGACCTTCTGAACACCAGGCGGACACTCAAACATCTTCGGATATTCCTCGAAAGTTTTCGGCAATCTTCGGTCATCTTCAGAAATCTTCGGTACTCTTCTGAATTTTTC